CATAGCATAAACTTCAATTTTATGGCCTGTTTAAACGGTCCGCTAGATTATTAGAAGCAAGGAAAAAGGAGCAACTATGCCGTGTGAATGCGTAAAGTGACAGGAAATTTAATTTAATTTATAATTAAATTTTCACGTTTTTTGCTTTTATCTATGTTGAAAAGCAAGATAATTTCACTCCTTCATTTGGATTCAAACTGACAATTGAGAGTTATATTTACGACGCATTTCGCAGTGGTTCAACATAGAAACATCGTTACTGAGTAAACGGGATCGTACGGTGATTCTGTTCAATTATAAACTTTTACCTTTCGATATCTTCATCAACAGCTAAACCACTGAAAAGCACTAGCATCACTGTATAACCCACCACATAGAAAAAAACCATAAAGGCCATCTAATACGACACATACATGACATCATTGGAAAACCAATGATTACTGACGTAATGGCTCCATTACTCTCCTCCGTGCATGGTAGCAAATTGATCTGCAGGAGTCAGCTAGAAATCAGTCTGCTGTACCCGCACGTCGGCATTCCAGCACCGCCTACAGCTGAAGACGTGGCCAAGAAGAAGACACCAATCGAGCAGACTCATAGGCCCGCTGACGATAACGAACATGGAAAAAGAAGCCGTCTCTATGTGCTGCATGGAAACTACGAAGTGTGCGACCACGCATGTATGTGTACTTCCGAAATAAACAATACTGCAATAGAGCGGTAGAAGAGCATCACATATCCTCAGAAGTTCATCAACTGCTAGCATCTGCAATTAGCAGGCGCTGCTTTAAATGAAAAGAATTAAAATATCAATTGTCAGCATTAAAAGCGACATATATAAGGTTTTTGTGATACAACCTAAAACGCTGACAGATCGTTGTCTATTAGGTCGTTAAGCTTCGATATCTCTGTGTTCAACAAACGACCTTTACAGTATTTTTTGTAGTACCATCAACGTATAAATAAATGAAATTACACTTTCGAAAAGACCTCGTATCTTTTCAGTGAAAGATATGTTTTAAACCAGAAGATGAATTAAAAGACCTGATTCTGAAACGTACACTACAACGTACCTCGTGGTTTCCGAAGCAAGGTTTGTCCATCAAATACGTGCATGGCGGGCACGACGGTTCGCTGTGACAAGTGTGCGTCACCGGATGAGAGCAGCTGTGCTGTCTTGTGCACGGTTTGTCGCATGACGGTGGCGCCGTGCCACAGGGAATCGGAGGATAGAGCACAGCACTGCCGCACAAACAGTGCAACTCGTCGAAACCTTAAACGAGCCGTTGAAAAGGTATACTTCTGACTTAATGCAATACTTACTCGTTTCTTGGCATGTCGGACACTTGCCTAGATGACACAGTAAACTGCATTTATGAAGTCCACATGACAGCATTCGGTTACACACCAGGAAAC